CTTCGGCATCAATCTGGGGCGTCTTCACATCCAGGCTGCCATCGAGTGCGGGAGCCTTCACTTCTGGCGTGGTGATGCTGATATCACTGTCCAGCGGGCCCGCCTTCAGTTCCGCTTGGGGAAGGCTGACCTCGCAGGTGGGCAGGGTGATGTTGACTTGGGGTAAGGTGACGTCCACGTCGCGTTTGGGTGCTTTGATGTCAGGTTTGGAGAATCCCATGCTAGGCATCTTGACTTTTGGCATGTGGATTTTCATTCCCGTTCCCTCGGCTTTGCCTACAGGCATGTCGATCCTGCCTTCTGCAGCTGGGACCTTCACTGCTAAGTCTCTCCCTCTCATTTCAACTTGGGTGTCGGGAAGTGAAACATCAGCCTCGGTCTTCGGCAGGCTGACCTGCATGTGTGGCATCTTCACCTTGGGAAGCGTCACGCTTGGCATCTTTATTTTCCCCTTCTCCCCCTCTTTGCTGGCAGACACCCCAATGTCGAAATCCACACCGGGAGCCTGGATCTCAGCAGCAGGCACGATAACCTCTCCTTCCACGCTGGCTGCCGGCAAGGTCACCTGGGGCCCGGTGAGGCTCACCTCCACATCGGCTGGGGCCCCCCCGGCCCCTGGTGAGGCTCACCTCCACATCAGCTGCTCCCACCCGGGCCTCTTTGGTGCTGGACAAACCAAAAGAAGGCATGCCAAATTTGGGAATATTGAACTTGCTGTCTTTGCCTTTGGCCTCTTTCTCGCCTGCTTTGATTTCACCTTCGACCTCCATCTTCCCAGCAGCAACTTCCAGCCCTCCAACCTCCACATCGGGTTTTGGCAGACTGACATCCACCGATGGCAGGCTGACATCCATCTTCGGGTCTTTGAGGTCAGCTTTTGGCATTTTGGGCATTTTCAGGGATGGCATTTCCACATTCCAGCTGGAGACGTCGGCTTCGGTTTTTGGCACTTTGGCTTTCACCTGGACCTTCGGGGTCTCCAGTGACACGACCACCCCCTCAGCTGGCACTTTGGCCTGGGGAAGCTCCCCTTCCACCATAGGCAGGCTGATCTTGCCTTCTGGCATGTGCTCTTTGGGGAGGGAAGCTCCAAACTTTGGCTTGTCAAATTTTGGCTTCTTAATCTTCCCTTTCAAGCCGTCGGTGTCCAGCTTGGCACCACCCACTGCCATCTGGGCAGATGGTGCTTCGGCATCAATCCTGGGCGTCTTAACATCCAGACTGACTTCCAGTGCAGGAGCCTTCACATCTCGTGTGGTGATGCTGATGTCGGCGACCACAGGGCCTGGCTTCAGGTCCGCTTGGGGAAGGCTGACCTCGCAGGTGGGCAGGGTGACGTCGACTTTGGGTAAGGTGACATCCACGTCGAGTTTGGGAGCTTTGATGTCGGGCTTGGAGAATCCCATACTAGGCATCTTGACTTTTGGCATGTGCATTTTCATCCCCGTTCCCTCGGCTTTGCCTGCAGGCATGTCGATGCTGCTCTCTGGAGCTGGGACCTTCACTGCTAAGTCTCCGCCTTTCATCTCAGCTTGGGTGTCGGGAAGTGAAACATCAGCCTCGGCCTTCGGCAGGCTGACCTGCATGTGTGGCATCTTCACCTTGGGAAGCATCACGCTTGGCACCTTCATTTTCCCCTTCTCCCCCTCTTTGCTGGCAGACACCCCAATCTCGAGGTCCACACAGGGAGCCTGGATCTCAGCAGCAGGCACGATAACCCCTCCTTCCACGCTGGTTGCTGGCAAGGTCACCTGGGGCCCGGTGAGGCTCACCTCCACATCAGCTGCTCCCACCCGGGCCTCTTTGGTGCTGGACAAACCAAAAGAAGGCATGCCAAATTTGGGAATATTGAACTTGCTGTCTTTGCCTTTGGCCTCTTTCTCGCCTGCTTTGATTTCACCTTCGACCTCTATCTTCCCAGCAGCAACTTCCAGCCCTCCAACCTCCACATCGACTTTTGGCAGACTGACATCCACAGATGGCAGGCTAACGTCCATCTTCGGGTCTTTAAGGTCAGCTTTTGGCATTTTGGGCATTTTCAGGGATGGCATTTGCACTTTCCAGCTGGAGACGTCGGCTTTGGTGTCTGGCACCTCGGCTTTCACCTGCACCTCGCGGGTCTCCAGCGACACGACCGCGACCTCGGCTGTCACTTTGGCCTGGGGAAGGTCCCCTTCCACCATCGGCAGGCTGATCTTGCCTTCATCCACGTGCCCTTTGGGGAGAGAAACTCCAAACTTTGGCTTGTCAAATTTTGGCATCTTAATCTTGCCTTTTAGGCCCCCGGTGTCCAGGTCGACACCGCCCACTGCAATCTGGGCAGATGGCGCTTCGGCATCAATCTGGGGCGTCTTCATATCCAGGCTGCCTTCCAGTGCAGGAGACTTCACACCTGGCGTGGTGATGCTTATGTCGCTGAATACAGGGGTTGCCTTCAGGTCCGCTTGGAGAAGGCTGACCTCACAGGTGGGCAGGGTGACATCCACATCGAGTTTGGACGCTTTGACGTCGGGTTTGGAGAATCCCATACTAGGCATCTTGACTTTTGGCATGTGCATTTTCATTCCCGTGCCCTCGGCTTTGCCTGCAGGCATGTCGATGCTGCCTTCTGCAGCTGGGACCTTCACTGCTATGTCTCCGCCTTTCATTTCAGCTTGGGTGTTGGGAATTGTAACATCAGCCTTGGCCTTCGGCAGGCTGACCTGCACGTGTGGCATCTTCACCTTGGGAAGCGTCACGCTTGGCATCCTCATTTTCCCCTTCTCCCCCTCTTTGCTGGCAATTTCAAGGTCCACACCAGGAGCCTGGATCTCAGCAGCAGGCGCGCTGACCTCTCCTTCCACGCTGGCTGAAGGCAAGGTCACCTGGGGCCCGGTGAGGCTCACCTCCACATCGGCTGCTCCCACTCGGGCCTCTTTGGAAGTGGACCACCCAATGGAAGGCATGCCGAATTTGGGCATTTTCAACTTGCTGTCTTTGCCTCTGGCCTGTTTCTCGCCCGCTTTGATTTCACTTTCAACCTCCATCTTCCCAGCACCAACTTCCAGCCCTCCAACCTCCACATCGAATTTTGGCAGACTGATGTCCACCGAGGGCAGGCTGACGTCCATCTTCAGGCCTTTGATGTCAGCTTTTGGCATTTGGGGCATTTTCAGGGATGGCATTTGCACTTTACAGCTGGAGACGTTGGCTTCGGTGTCTGGAACCTCAGCTTTCACCTGGACCGCGGGGGTCTCCAGCGACACGACCGCCCCCTCGGCTGTCATTTTGGCCTGGGGAAGGTCCCCTTCCACCATAGGCAGGCTGATCTTGCCTGCTGGCACAGGCCCTTTGGGGAGGGAAACTCCAAACTTTGGCTTGTCAAATTTTGGCATCTTAATCTTCCCTTTCAGGCCCCCGGTGTCCAGCTCGGCACCACCCAATGCAATTTGGGCAGATGGCGCTTTGGCATCAATCTGGGGCGTCTTCACATCCAGGCTGCCTTCCTGTGCAGGAGCCTTCACATCCGGTGCAGTGATGCTCATATCACCGTCCACAGGGCCCGCCTTCAGGTCTGCTTGGGGAAGGCTGACCTCGCATTTGGGCAGGGTGACGTCGACTTTGGGTAAGGTGACATCCACGTCGAGTTTTGGCACTTTGATGTCGGGTTTGGAAAATCCCATACTAGGCGTTTCAGCTTGGATGTCGGGAATTGAAACATCAGCCTCGCCCTTCGGCAGGCTGTCCTGCATGTGTGGCATCTTCACCTTGGCAAGTGTCACGCTTTGCATCTTCATTTTCCCCTTCTCCCCCTCTTTGCTGGCAGACACCCCAATGTCGAGGTCCACACTGGGAGCCTGCATATCAGTGGCAGGCGCGCTGACCTCTCCTTCCATGCTGGCTGCCGGCAAGGTCACCGGGGGCCCGGTGACGCTGACCTCCACATCGGCTGGGCCCCCCCCGGCCTCCTTTGAGGCGGGGCGAGGCACTCCATCTTCCCAGCAGCAACTTCCAGCCCTCCAACCTCCACATCGACTTTTGGCAGACTGACGTCCACCAATGGCTGGCTGATGTCCATCTTCGGGCCTTTGATGTCAGCTTTTGGCATTTGGGGCATTTTCAGAGATGGCATTTCCACTTTCCAACTGGAGATGTTGGCTTCAGTGTCTGGCACTTCGGCTTTCACCTGGACTGCAGGGGTCTCCAGCGACACGACCGCCCCCTCGGCTGTCACTTTAGCCTGAGGAAGCTCCCCTTCCACCATCGGCAGGCTGATCTTGCCTTCTGGCACGTGCCCTTTGGGGAGGGAAACTCCAAACTTTGGCTTGTCAAATTTTGGCATCTTAATCTTCCCTTTCAGGCCCCCGGTGTCCAGCTCGGCAACCGCCCAATGCAATCTGGGCAGATGGCGCTTCGGCATTAATCTGGGGCATCTTCACATCCAGGCTGCCTTCCAGTGCAGGAGCCTTCACATCCAGCGCGGTGATGCTGATATCGCCATCCACGGGGCCCGTCTTCAGGTCCCCTTGGGGAAGGCTGACCTCGCATGTGGGCAGGGTGACGTCTACTTTGGGTAAGGTGATGTCCACATCTAGTTTGGGCGCTTTGATGTCAAGTTTGGAGAATCCCATACTAGGCATCTTGACCTTTGGCATGTGCATTTTTATCCCTGTGCCCTCGGCTTTGCCTGCAGGCATGTCGATCCTGCCTTCTGCAGTTGGGATCTTCACTGCTAAGTCTTCGCCTTTCATCTCAGCTTGGGTGTCGGGAAGTGTAACATCAGCCTCGGAATTAGGGAGGCTAACCTCCATGTGTGGCATCTTCACCTTGGGAAGCGTCATGGTTGGCATCTTCATTTTCCCCTTATCCACCTCTTTGCTGGCAGACACCCCAATCTCGAGGTCCACACCGGGAGCCTGCATATCAGCAGGAGGCGAACTGGCCTCTTCTTCCACGCTGGCTGTCGGCAAGGTCACCTGGGGCCCGGTGAGGCTCACCTCCACATCGGCTGCTCCCACCCGGGCCTCTTTGGAGCTGGACCAGACAAAGGAAGGCATGCCGAATTTGGGCATTTTGAACTTGCTGTCTTTGCCTTTGGCCTCTTTCTCGCCTGATTTGATTTCACCTTCAACCTCCATCTTCCCAGGAGCAACTTCCAGCCCTCCAACCTCCACATCGACTTTTGGCAGACTGACATCCACCGATGGCACGCTGATGTCCATCTTCGGGTCTTTGAGGTCAGCTTTTGGCATTTTGGGCATTTTAAGGGAGGGCATTTCCACTTTCCAGCTGGAGACGTCGGCTTTGGTGTCTGGCACCTCAGCTTTCACCTGGACCTTCGGGGTCTCCAGCGACACGACCGCCCCCTCGGCTGTCACTTTGGCCTGGGGAAGCTCCCCTTCCACCATAGGCAGGCTGATCTTGCCTTCTGGCATATGCTCTTTGGGGAGGGAAACTCCAAACTTTGGTTTGTCAAATTTTGGCTTCTTAATCTTCCCTTTCAAGCTGCCGGTGTCCAGCGCGGCACTGCCCACTGCAATCTGGGTCGATGGAGCTTCCGCATCGATCTTGGGCATCTTCACATCCAGGCTGCCTTCCAGTGTAGGAGCCTTCACATCTGGCATGGTGATGCTGATGTCGCCGACCACAGGGCCCGCCTTCAGGTCCTCTTGGGGAAGGCTGACCTCACAGGTGGGCAGGGTGACGTCGACTTTGGGTAAGGTGACATCCACATCGAGTTTGGGCTCTTTGATGTCAGGTTTGGAGAATCCCATACTAGGCATCTTGACTTTTGGCATGTG